AATCCCCCCAAAAACTTGAGTTGTGGGATTTCTCCGACTGAGAAAGAGAAAATAGGGTCATAGAATCCTTATGAGACGGAGGAAGTTTTTTTAATGTATATTTTTCATCATCATTATAATTTTCCCTTGAGTGTAGCTGTTTAAACTTGTTCTGAGTCTATTTCTTAGTGTATTCAAGTTTCCTCATGCGTTTTGATTTCGTTTCAAGGTTGCTTTCAGGGCAGTTTGCTTTCAAGGACAAAAGCAAAAAAATGCATGGAAATCGAGTTTATGACGCCGTCTTTGGGGTAATATGGAATTAGGAGAAAATGTTACCAACTTCATTTAATATTTATGTGAGTATATATGATACTATGACTATTTCGAAGGGTGATCTTGTTTCTGATTGAGAGAAATGCGTTCCAACGCATTGCAGAATTGAGAAACAATTCGAGACAGAACCCTAAATGGATCTGAACTTGTGATCACAGAGCTAAAATTTATTAACTGTGCTTGAAGAGTCATGAGGCTTATTGGTAACGTTACTAGTTCGCACATTACATTTTAATCCTGCTTTTAAAAAAAATCATGGGTAATGCTTCATCAACAGAGCTTCTGAAGTCAGCATGGTCAGAAATTACTTCCTCTCCTAGCTCGAATTTCAAGCATGTGCTGGAAGTTGTGCTTAGTTAATTCCCAATAAAAGTATTTCGATTGATCGTTCGATTTCAGTCATTAGCTGGTATTTTTTAGTCTATCTGGCAATTTTTTGCGAAATCAGGCATATTCTGGAAAGAGAAAACAGTCGTGATATTTATTTTAAAATTTAGTTCTTTTAAAAGTAATTTTCTTTTTTTTCTCACATTCCATGAGCTTCACGGTTTTCCATACTTTCTCTCTAACAACTTCAGTTCATTGTGAGAAATCCTGCAAATTTCTAAAGTTTCGTTCCATTTGGTAAACCTCTCTTCAACTGGTTGCGCAACAGGAAAAAAAATGGTGGAAAAAAAGTTTGGAAGCAATCCATTCTCAGTAGTTTATTCCTCCAAGTCCATGTAAATAATATGCAAGGATTATTTTCGCGTAAAAAATGCGTCAAACGATTCAGAAAGTGTCGCAGGGATTCTCCATCATTTATTGCCAGTGAGCAAGCGAGGAAATTTCCCGTTTCGCGTCTTAATTCATCGTCCCAAAAGATCGGCAGTTTCCCACGGCGAAAACGAGGACCCTGAAGCGATCCGTCCAAATCCTGTCTGCTTCCCGGGAATTCTGGATTGAGCACGATCCGGGCCATGCTGCAGTCGCACGCGTCTAAAAATTAGGATCGTGCTTTTGAGGCAGGCCAAAAGAGGAAGGAATTTGTGGCTGTGGGTCGAATATCTCAAGACTCACCATATTGTAGAAAAATTTTGGAAATTTATTTTCGTGTTGGTGGCAGAATTTGCAATGCCTTCATCTTGAAATAAAACGACTGAGGTTCGAAAGCGAGCGATTTTTTTCCTCTGTCGCGTCGCAAGCTTGTTTCCAATATTCCCTGAAAATGTTCGAATATGCAATTATGGAACGGTTGTTTTACGTGCATGAGTCGTAAATGGCATGTCTGAGGACGTATGATTCCGGATTTTATCGAAATAACAAGTGAGAAAATAGGAATCATGGTTCAAGCTTCGTTCCAGTGTAGCGCTCAAATTCCCTGTGAATGTTAAATGAACGCGATCTCAGTCCCCTCAAATCTGCCTTTCGATCTGCGAATCAAAAGAACGATAGAGGGATTGCAGCCATTGAAAATTTGACTATACAGGGTGTCCCATAAGTCAAGCATCATGGGAAATTGATAGTGGAAGATGTCAATAAGCACGGACAAATGTGTGGGACACAGTCAGTGAGAGGTTGCTGAGAGATTCAATAATGACTATCTGTATTGGCAACCAATAACGCAAAGTTGAGGAATGCTCAAACAGAATGGCAGCATTGCTTGAGAAAACGCATTAAGAATAATGGCAAACATGTTGAACATATGTTTTTCAGTATCATAAAATGTGAATTTCCCTATGATGCTTGACTTATGGGACACCCTGTATATCACTCCATCGATCTTCTCGTGCAATCAGCAGAAAGTCTCTCGCCAATAGAGGAATTCGAATACCTTCCCCTGTGTCATCTGAGGAGAAAATATTAAGTACCGTTCGAAAAGTACTGAAGACTAATGCCAGTTACCTATAAGTGATGACTCGCTCTGTTGGCGATTTGTCGCCATCTCGCTTCGGAGCACAAGGAACCTCGTTTATTAGAATGACTTCCAGATGTCTCCCTTGACAGTTGTTGATGTAATATGGCTAGGACTCTGGATTCAACTGAAGTGAAACACGAATCCCATGTTCTTTCGATATTGATATTATCAACATCGAGTCAATGTTCGGCGAGTCATTCCCATACAAAACGTTACCCCCGCTTTCACCTATATTTAACTGCTTTTCCCCCTAATCTTTACCTGAAGGGTCATCAGGTTGTGAGGGGAAAAAACGGGGGAAAAGAGGGGAATCCCCGATTTTTATCTGAAACTCAGGCAACAGTGGATACAGAAATTGTTCATAGGGGGGCGGTTCCCAAGTTTCTACCTACTCCCCCCCCCCCTGTCCCCCGGCTACCACCACTCCCCCCGTCCTATCGCCTTTTTCATTTTTCGTCTGGGGTAAAAAACTTGAACTCCTATTTCACTGGTCCCACTATACTCTCATGTAGATGCTTTTTTAATAAATTAATAAATAAAATGCTAACCTGACCATAGGGGGAGCGGTCCCCCCCCCCTTCTCCCCTCCGGATCCGCCACTGGGTTCAGGGGAAAGGACTCCTCCGCAAGCAGGAAGATTGAGGAGAGCTAAGACTCAAAGGTAAAATTCCGGTTAACCCAGTTCACCCTCGTGCTCGTCTTTGTTATCCTTGTGAGAGACGTTGAAAATATGCTATTTCCCATATGGCTCAGTAGCCGTCATGACTGCAAGTCAGTCCCAGTGTCAGTGGTTCGGCTATTTCTAAAAAAATGTTTTTATTTTATTTTATTTTGTGATGTGAATTGGTTCCTTTGACGTTAGGCTAAGCTTATCTTAGGGTCTGTGAACTTTCGACTATAGTCTAATTTAATAATGCATTGAGAATTCTGAGACTAATGATCATACCGATAAGTCGTGAGCTTAGAAATGATTATTGCCGTCTATTTCACGATGTGATTGATTCTCTTCTGTAATTCATGATTTTATTCTTAGATCACAACACCCATATGGGTGTTGTGATTAATATATCTTAATCATAGTCTCAGTGTTTATGTTACACCTATCATATAAGGTGATAATTACATCAGAGTATTCTTGAAAGAAGAGCTAAGTCTGGGGTAAGTTATACCCTGTAGGTAACAAAAGGTAAATTACTTGTGAAAAGTGAGGTAAAGAGCGGTAAATTAAGGGGTAGAGGTTAAATATTGAGGTAAAACTGCAGTAAAAAAAAAAGAGGTAAATCAAAAGTAAAAAAAAAGCGGTAAATGCGGGGGGAAGCGAGAGATATAAATCGAAAATCCAGCTGATGTCTTTTTCTCTTGAGAAAAATAAATCGAAATGCGAAAATTGAGAGAAGTATATCGTCTCGATTCACCGATTTCTCTGAGTGTTGGACCATCAGCACCAACATCCCACCGACATAATCAATCTTGAGTCAATATTGTTTTGCAAACCGGGTCGCTGCAGGGCGAGCCCATGTTTTGCGTCAGATTTTGGATGACCACAGGGTGATACGGTACATCCCCCTGTGGTCATCCAAGATTCACCATATTCACCAGATCAGGTCACCGTATTTGCCACATGATACAAAATATATGTAATATTAATCAAACGAATGCGCAATCTTGTGAAAGAAGAAAAAATATAACAGATGAAGAGCATCAATTCGCCACATGTGGCGAGTGGCGAACGTATTGGACACCATGGCTCTAAGCATTCTGGTTCGACTGCTTGGAAATGTCGCAAATTGGTTCACAATGTTTAGGGAAGACTGCGAGGGATCTCATACCGATATAAATAGTCTTGTTCACGTGAGTTCAATGGGGAGCCAGACGACATCGAAGGTGGAGAAGATCTCGCTCGTCACCGCATTCGAGTCCGCCATCACGATGTCGCAAAAGTCGGCAGGGGGAGATAAGACAGAGGCAGGGTGACTGCCCGTTTTTTCCTCATACGAGGAGGAAGGGAAGTGTGGAAAGTGGAAATGCGATGAAGCAAACATGGAAGTTTGCATTCCAAAGGTTCATTACGTAGTCGGTCCCATGTGAAAACAATAATTATGCTTAGAATGATAAAGAGTGATGTCATTCGCGACCGAAGCATGATCGCATGACCCATAAAATATGGTCTGGACGATGATCGAAAGCAATCACGTGTCATCGCGGCTATAGCTCGGAGGGCAATGAGGCTGGGCGACCTGATCTGCCGGGTCTGGCCGCATCTTGGCAGGCTGTGTCGAGAGAAATGGCCTGGAAAGGAGGAAACTCAGATGTAGCAATTTCGTTATTGACTTTGAGTCTGTAATTGGATTCCCCAATGTTTTTCATTTTTTTAATCATCTGTTCGTGAATCGATGGGACCCCGGTCTCTTCGTTTTCTCAAGACGGTGGGCTAAGATAATATTGCGCGAAGTATAGAAACGGATCGAGGGGAAAAATACTGGACGATTTTTGACGAAAGATGCAGTATTGAAAATCTCTTGTTACGCTCTCAGAATCTCGTGTTGAATCGGAACCGAATTCTGAATTCTGACATTTCCAGCAAATTCAAAAGTAACCTTCCTCAAAATTGTCCCTAATAGGGGTATATATTTTAAATACACCGTGCAGTTTTGAGTGGAAAAAATTTCTGCCCGTGATACCCGAGACAAGATGGAGCGCTCATCCCGAAAATGGCATGCCCCTCGAAAGATAACTATTTTTTTAATGACAAAATATGAAACTACAGGGTGGCCCATAAGTCCTTGCCGCGATGGATGCCACCCAGAACCCAACAGAGAATCCCTGCGACCCGGGACTTACGTGCCACCCTGTGCGGCGCGAAGGCACCTCGTGCCACGTGTCGGTTCTCACAATGGTCCGACTCTCAGCTGACTCTCAGCAATCCGTGATGCAGGGATCACTTCTCCTCGTTTCCTTCCTCCTCGCATCGGGCACTCGGGGGCAGGCCCCGTGTCCCGATCCCGATCTCATCTCGCCTTGTGTCTGCTCCACCTACGTGAACGAAAGCGGCGAGGTCGTGACGGTGGACTGCTCGAATGCCACGACGAGCGGAGATATCTTTTCCGCCTTTAACGACGTTGAATGGCCTTTCGCTGAACTCACGTGAGAAACTTCGTAATCCTATTATGAGATCTCTCGCTTCACTTCGCATCTGCACACTAGATTCCTCGGGCTTATTTAAACATAATTAAAATCAAGTGACATTATTTCCAACCAGTCAATCCAAAATGCAAAAATCGAAAACTTTCAATTTTTTATAATGTGAGAATGCGGCCTAATTGCAGGGAATTCAGACTGATTTCGAACGAGCGAGTGGATTCCCTCCCGGATGGAGCGTTTGGCGGCGTCTCGTTCCAGACAATCTTCATTCACTCCACCGCCTTGAACACCATTCATCCCTCGGCGGTGCTCTCGTCGAAGGACAGACTCGAACTGATGAGGGTGACGGACAGCTTCCTGACGGAATTCCCCTGGGACGCCCTGTCTCAGTTGAGCTCGCTCGCTCGGCTGGACCTTCAGGGGAACGCCTTGATGGCACTGCCGGCCGTGCAGAGTCCCAGTCTCGAGGATCTCCTGCTCCTTGGTAGTCGAATCCCCCAACTCCAAGCCGGTTGGTCCACGCCCAACATGAAGTATCTCGAATTCGGTGAGCGACTCTATTCTCCTGGATTTCGAATATTTTGGTGTCCTAAACACATCCCTATCGTGGCTCGAAGGTTTTAATGCTTTAACGGGATTCAGAAGCTCCCTCTTCAAAGTACCGGTGGAAATGAAGCAGTCTCTGTATGCGTACTAACAGCCTTTTTTCATGGTAACATTTCGTACAGTAAGAAGAAAGTGGAAAAAAATTAAGTCAGAGTATCTAACCGACCTATCCAGTTCACTGCAGTGTTCATGTTTCCGAATGACGTTCATTGTTTACCAATGACACTCATTGTTCATGTTCATGGATGACTTCCTGGAAGACTAAGGAAGGTCAACCAAGCCGGTTGAAATAGCCGCTTCTAGTTTCCAAGCATTTATAACAGAAATAAACTTCATAGAGATTTCACAATTGGGTTCGAGAAATTCAGTTGACTCTTATTTAGACTCAAGGGTTTGTTGACTCTTTGCATCCTGAAGTAAACTTTTCTGGAAACAAGCGAGAAATCTCGAGCGTGACATCTTAGTAAGCTGTTAAAACGTTCTTGGAGTTCCAGCAACCGATAATCCTTGGCCGAATCTGATTCCCCCGAAGACCAGAATCCGATCTCGGAGTTCCCGCCCGCGTTCCTGGACGACATGGAGAACCTAGTCCAGCTGTGGTGTCGGTCATGCGGCCTCGGGCCGACCCTGCCGAGCGGGTCGCTGCAGTTCCACAGCGAGGCCCTGGTGTACGTGGTGCTGGACGAGAACGGCATCTCGAGAGTCGAACCGGGAGCCATCACGGGTGACCCAGAGCCCCTTCCGAGTAAAACGTCCACCTGCATCCACCTGGCTCAACGACCAGATAAATAGGAGGTGGATTTGGAACCAAGTGGATGTTTTACCCGGTGGGAAACCATTAGGTCGCTCACGAGTCGGGCGGATGTTCCCTCCTGGGTCGATTTTTACCCAGGTGGACATCGCTCTAACTGGTGGAAATATGCCTAAGGGGACATCCTCCTGGTTCCAAATACTTGGCAGGTGGACGTTTCGTAAGAGCTTCCGTTTCGTGTCCGGCAGCGATGCATTTCCGACGGTCGTTGCAGGTCTCACGCCGGAAACGAGGCTCGATCTGTGGTTCAACGAAATATCGGAGTTGTCGGAAGAGTCCTTCCGTCCGATGCTGGAGATCCTCTCGCTCGGCAACGGATACGTGGATCTCTTTGGTGAGCTCCACGATTTTTTTTTTCCCTCCGTGTTACCTGCTTCAATTTCCCGATTTTTTTTTCTTCGCAGAAAATCCGGTGGTGTGTGACTGCAGCATGGCCTGGATCGTGCTCGATCCGGCCTTCCTGGCCAGCATCGACGGTTTTTGCACCGACGGAACGTGGTTCATCGACCTGGATCCCGACTTCTTCCAGGAGTTTTGCGTCGAAGAGACAGCCCTTGCGCCAGACGATTTCTGGGCGGAATAAACCTCGTTCATCTACCAATTGCTTCTTTCTTGATGTGAAAAATGCCAATTGGTTCTCTCTCGATTTAGAAAAGGATGAAAAGAAAAAATGAAAATTATTCTTTTAAATGCCTAATCAAAGCGCAATTCCTAATGAGGAGGCCTTTCTGCTGCTCACAGCGCCAGGGGAGAAAAAAAAAAACGCAGGAAGAAAAACTGGAACCGAATTGCTCATCCAATGCCACTGGAATGAATGCAGGCTTTGTTTCCCGCTGTCACGGACCCGTATAGTGGTGACCAAATCGATTGCATCATTTCTGGTTTTCTGATTAGGTGGTGCAATAATTTCGCACCCGGAATATGCACGCGAATTTGACTCAAGAGCTTTGAAGGAACTTGCTTAATTTTTTGCTTCTAGAATTTTCTGAAACTTTATTTCGACTTACCACGAGATTCCGAGAGTGCACGTCCCTTGACGCTCGTGAACGATTTACCTCTCATCAACTTTCGGAAATTATTGATTCTTTCTATTTAATTTTTTTCTTTTCATGTATTAAATTCATGGTCATTCTTTGACAGGAAAACATTTAGACAAAATTTAATGTGTCCCGTGAGAAGATTTCAACCTGTCCGCGAAACAGGTTACAAAAAAAAACGATGTCTTGGATACGGCCAATTTTTCTTAGAATATAATAATAATTATTTTTTTAAATTTATTGATGAAAAAGAAGCAATGCACGGGTCCCCCGGTCGACGCACAGGCTTATTCGTTTCCTTCCCTCATTCTGACCATAGCCGAGAAAATCGTAAAACATGACAATAACGATAAACAATGAACAAAGACTGATGATATTAAATAAATTCCACTCCCTTCTATCTTGACTCTCATCTTTCCAGATTCGGCTTTTTATTTTATTTTTGTGCGTGCGCGTTGTGCGTGAGTGGGGAGCACTCACAGGCAAGACTCCCTTCCCCGATTATCCGCTTCTTTTTTTCTGCGATGCAGTCTAACCGCGAAATTAAAGATAGAATGTCTGATAAGAGAGGGCTTCACGGGATTATTCCCACCAAGGCGAGTAGGGTGAAAGTGAGCAGGGTGAGTGAGCAAGGTGAGAATGAGAACGCTTTGCAAATCCTCCAGAGCTTAAGCGGTAAAGCTGATTTTCCTGATAGGCATTGCATTCTTGCAAATACACTCAAGGACAGGGTGTCCATAAAGTGACGACCTAAGGGCGACTTTTTCATTTTTGGCACTCAAGTTGCCATTTTTTTTGCTGACTGAAAATGTACTAACCTTGGAATGGAATTAATCTCCCAGATTCAGAATTTTTTATTTATTCATTTGAACGGGAAAGAAACGGAGATGGAAAAAAAATTGGCATTGGACTTATTTTTGCACCAACTCCTTGCAAACATCACGCTATCGATTACACAACAGAGTATTTTGGCTGATACGAAATCGCAAAATTTATAACTGTTTCCCTTTAGGTAGTCCACTTTTTGGATACCCTGTCTTTCGACCCAGAATCTACATAATTTAGAAGCAGGAAGGGCATAAGAAGAATGAGATATTCAGAGGAAGAGCAAAGATTAGATCGTCTGTATTGTCGAGTCATTCTCCTTGAGATGGATCCTCCCCCGTCCCCCCCCTCCTCCGGCCCCCCAGTCTCCCCCCCCCCCTCGGCCCCCCTCCTCCGACTTTCCCTTTCCTCCTTCCCATGCGAGATGATCCATCACGGGAGACAGGCTCGTTTGCTATCTGGTTTTTCCAGTCCTTCCTTCGAAAATGTCTCTGTAAAAATGTCCCTGCGAAAGCGCCCGGATGTCCGCCGATAAGATCCGTGTTCGCGAGAGAGAGAATGATGCCGCTGCAAGCGTCGTCAAATTGTTGCCGTAACTCAAAATGAGATTATCTCGATGGCTGTTTCGTCGGAGAGGCAGCAAGAATCCTGAGAGATAAATCTTGGCCGGATCCTGACCGGATCCGGTCGTTGTTGACCGGATCCGGTCGTTGTTCCTCCGAGCCATTCCTTCTCGCTTCACATCCCACATCTTTCTTCCCATCCCAAAAAAAAATTTTTTTGCGAAAAAGGGAACAGTTCGCTGCAAAAACCGCACTGGCAAATCTGCGATTTCGCAATCGCGAAAAAAATGAAGGCCTTTTCAGACATTTATGTAAAAAAATTCAGCTCAGACTGTATTGATATGCATGTTTTCCCCCGCGGACCAATCTTTGCCCTTAATTGAGCTCGAAACTTGCTTTTAGGCTTAAGTTAAAGCTCGGATGAAGCTTTATCAGATTTCTCAGAGCACATTTCTGAATAATTTGTTTGCGAAAGCAAGAAAATTGAAAAATATGGGGGATTGCCAACAATCAAATGCTCTTCTACCTTCAGTAAATATTTAGTAAATATAAAAAATCAATATTTTATTCAACCCTTTCAATGTTGAAAAGGCTAAAGCACCAGAAAATTCAAAAGAGAAAATTTGATCAATTTTTCTGCAACAGAAATTTTTAAGGCTATTCGTTTTTTCAAGTTCAGTAGTACCATTTTCCATGAATATATTTATATTTAATTGTGTTTAGTAGTAATCACTATTTGATACTATCATATCGTTAAGTCCCTGGATCGCAATGCCGATGAAACCGTTGGAAAAGCATCGGCGCAGGAGCGTCGCACGAGAGCATGCGCTCTCGTGCCTCTCTCGTGCCACTCTCATGCCTCTCTCATGCCACTCTCACCCAAAAACAAAATCCAGGACCGGTTTGGTTTCCCAATGATTTCTCGCGCCCCCCGCCTATCTCGCCGAGACCCGTCTCGGCGGAAGGAGATAGGCGTGCCCCGTTGTCCTTTGTCGACGGGAACAGGGAACGGTTATTTGCATTCATTTCCTTGCGAGGGAGGGAGGGAGGGAGGAAGGGCTCCTCCCTTTCTCCATGGGAGGAAGTCCGGAAATGTCCCACCGTTTCTCCCGCTATATATGCCGGGTAATCCTGTTTTAAACTCCGTGAGAGGCATCGAGGGCGCCGAGGGAGACATCGAGGGCGCCGAGGAACGGAAGTGCGTCGGATTTGAAAGGGAATTAGGAATCGGGACGCGTCTACATCTGCTCCTCGACGGTCGAGGGAAGATTAATGGAGTGAACAATTTGTGAAACTCGATCGACTGCATGCGAGATAAAGAAAAAAGTCGATTTGCAGGATGGAGAAGTTCGGCCGAGGCGGAGGACGCAGTCATCTGAAAGGACGAGGCGGGGATCGAATGCAGAGTAAACGGATGAGAGGGAGTGGGATATAAGAGAGAGAGGAGGTCGACGCCGGGAGGCCAGTGAGGCGCAGGGAGTCCATGGAAGCCGGTGCGGTGGGGGACGAAGCGGAGGGCAGAGACGAAGTGGAAGGCAGAGGGAGATCGGTGAAGATCAGAGAGGAAGCGGAAGGCAGAGGGAGATCGGTGAAGATCAGAGAGGAAGTGGAGACCAGAGACTCGGCGGAGGGAAGCGAGGAGGTGGAGGTCGGGACGCTGGAACGCTGGGCGGGTTCCCTCGCGAGGTCCATCGTGGAGCAGCATCTGCATCGACTGGGTGTGAGCGAGGTGGTGGACGGATTCAGCTGGACCCTGGCGGAGACGGTGCTCGTGTCCGCGATGCAGGAGTGCATGGAATCGCATCGGAAGAAGATCCCCTTGCCTTCGGCCAAGTTGAGACCTGGGATTCTCAAGGCGGCTAGCAGGTGACCGGCTGCAGTGATTCTCTGAGTGATTCTGAGTGATTCGCAGGTGCTCGTAAGTGAAAATGTGCTTTTCTCCGTGTGGAATCTCCGTGCCGGAAGGGAGGTCGCGAATCTCAGGTCCTCCGTGCCTCGTAGTTCCTCGAGAAATCGACAAAAACTCGTTTCGGCACGTGCAGATCCGAGTCGACGGAGCGGAAAACGAGAGTGAAGTCCCATTTAGTCCCTCGGTGCTAATTTTTTTCCTGGGTCGGTTTCTCTGCATCTGTGATTCTCGATGATTAAACCCCGGTGAAGGCATCCTGCCGTCGATTTTCCGCCCGGATACCCGAGGGTCCGGTCACAGTCCGGTCACAGTCCGGTCACGGCTCATTACGAGCCCTGATTTATTAAGGCGGATCCCTCGGGAAGACCCGGCCGCAGGGGGGAATGCAACCCGTTAAGGGGATGGGTGCGGCTCGAGTCCTTATAAGGAGGACGCCGACAGCCCCCGTCCTCCATTTCGGTCTTCCTTTTCGGTCTTCCATTTCGGTTCGAGCGCTTGCTGGCCGATCCCGTCCGCGATTCGCCTCTCCGTCGACGGAGAAACTCGTCTTCCGAGCGGGAAGAGTGACAGGACAGGGAAAAAGCGTCAGCTGTGGTCGCATGTGTGACTGCAACTTCATTTAGGTCATCCGGGGGGGGGGGAGGGGGGAGAAGGGCTTGCTGACAGGGACCGCTTTTTTCTCAGTTCGAGATTTAACGAGACCGATGTTTTAACGTCGCGAACAGAAGACGGGGGTCAAGCATGAATAATTCATCAACGTTGAAATATATTACGGAGACAACGTCCTTGCCCTTCGGAGCCCTTCAGAGAACTGTCTCTGCTGTCAGTCGGGACGAACCAAGAGACCGAAAGTCGGCAACGTTTCCCCCCACCGATTGCCAAAGTTTCCCGGCCGATAGGCAAATCGTTTCTCGACCAGGAGAGAATGATGAGATGAAAGTCCATCGGCCGCGATGATGCAAGGGAGACACGAAAGCGAGATCCTCCCCCCCTCCCCCCCCCTCCAATTGCATCACGTGCCTCGATTCCTCATCGTGCCTCGTCCCCCCCCTCATCGTGCCTCGTCCCGATCGACGACGGATGAAGCCATCCGGTTCGTGATGACAAAAAAAGGCGCACGCGTCCGGATTGCCTTCATCGCGGCTTTGCGCCTCTCGCCGACAGTGCCGAACGTGTCGACGATCCCCATCTGGACGGGTCACGACCGACCCCGCAGTGTTGCCAGATGCCAGAGATGCATGAGAAACGC